ATTTGTTCAAAATTCTACTCTGAATATATTTCAATATAATCGATACCCGTTCATTCGAGAATTTAATTCACAAACTTATTCGATATTCATTCATTCGATGAAAAATTTTGAGTTTGCCGAAGAGTTGGCAGGAAGATTACTAGAAATGTCGAAATGTTGGGCTTTGAAAGTTTGTACAATAGCATGCATTCGCTTTCTATGCTTTTCAGTCTCGTTCGTCGATGTGCGAAAGCAACTGAAATGGATTTGCGATAAGACAGGTGAGTGACACTATAATAGCACAAAGTTAAGAGTGAAGAATGTTACAAGACCTTTCGAATATTGTCTAAGAACGAAAGCAAAGTGAAAACAAAAGCCTCAAATCCGCTCACTAAGATTGACGCCCGTCAACCTCTATCGTGTAGCCAAATCAAAAAAATGACTCCTGACCCATAATCTTATATATAAAGCTGAATGTCTGTTTGTCTGTATGTATGTATGTATGTATGTATGTATGTATGTCTGTCTGTCTGTGTGTACGTATGTTCCGAATAGAAAATTCCATTTCTGAACCGATCCGGACCAAACTTGGCACACATACACTTCGGGCCCCGGCGGGTGTCATAGGCTACTTTTCGTCATCGATCGATATCGATTTTATCGATTTTTATCGATTTTTTTGCTGAGTTCACCTACGGGGCTGGGAGTTGGCACAGGGGGGTAATCGAGCATGGGGATTCCGAATACAATATTGGTTTTCAGGATTATCGATTACTTTTATTGATTTTATCGATTTTTTTGCAAAGTTTGAGCTACGGGGCTGGGAGTTGGCACAGGGGGGTAATCGAGCATGGGGATTCCGAATACAATATTGGTTTTCAGGATTATCGATTACTTTTATTGATTTTATCGATTTTTTTGCAAAGTTTGAGCTACGGGGCTGGGAGTTGGCACAGGGGGGTAATCGAGCATGGGGATTCCGAATACAATATTGGTTTTCAGGATTATCGATTACTTTTATCGATTCTATCGATTTTTTTGCAAAGTTTGAGCTACGGGGCTGGGAGTTGGCACAGGGGGGTAATCGAGCATGGGGATTCCGAATACAATATTGGTTTTCGGGATTATCGATTACTTTTATCGATTTTATCGATTTTTTGCAAAGTTTGAGCTAGGGGGCTGGGAGTTGGCCCAGGAGGGTAATCGAGCATGCTGATCATCCCCACGGGGGTGATCAGCATGCTCGATTACCCCCCTGTGCCAAATCCCAGCCCCGTAGCTCAAACTTTGCAAAAAAATCGATAAAATCGATAAAAGTAATGCGCGATTTTAAAAACTAATATTGTATTCGGAATCCCCATGCTCACTTACCCCCCTGTGCCACATCCCAGCCTCCTAGCTCAAATTTTGCAAAAAATCGATAAAATCGACATCAATCGATAACGAAAAGTGGACTGTGACACCCGCCGGGACCCGAAGTGTATGTGTGCCAAGTTTGGTCCCGATCGGTTCAGAAATGGAATTTTCTATTAGGAACATACGTACACACAGACATACAGACAGACATACAGACAGACAGACAAACAGACATTCAGCTTTATATATAAGATACTATGAACGAGCTCACAGATACCGCAAACGCTACTCACTCGACCACAGAGGTCTCTAATAGGGAATACTACAGAAATACTGCACTTGCAGATGTGCATCAGTGGCGTTGTTACAAATTTTTTGAAAGCCAAAAAAGATTTTCAAAAAATGAGTTAACTTGCTCACTCCCACCAAAATTTTTGAAATGGCGGCAGCTAATCTTTGGATTTCGATAATCAACTCGATTCCAAACAGAAATTCTTATTATCCCTTGGAAAACGCCCACCTAATGATTATAACTAATATTTACCAGTCAAAAATTTGTTTCCCGAGGGGAAGGGGGGAGGGGGAAGGAAAAATCATGCTCGACCCGCAACTGGCTCCCCTGCTACCTACTGTACATATCCGCAAAATGGTGACCTTCTTTTCTTTGGTGGAAACAAATCATTGAGTCATAAATTAATCTGCATATTGTACACAACGCCAGCTACTTCACGACTTTAACAAAGCTGTAAGGCTGGAACTTACAAGGTCTTGTAAGGCTAGAACCTGTTTATTCCCAAGGATGTCTAATCTTTTAAGCTTCGTTGGTTTGACTGAATATTTACCAGGTATTAGTTCACAAGTCCATCTTTCCGCTGGCCCAACCGTTACTAGTGATCCATAAAGCTTTTTCTAATGGCGTTTACTGCAGTAAGGAGCGCAAAGCTCGCAGATAAGGTCGGAAATGACTGGCGCATAAATGCTGTATCTTAACATCCACTATTGTTTTGTGTTTGCTCGAAAGAACCCGTAGGTTTTAGCTTTACCAATAGGTAACGATGGGCTGAAATACTTGAAGTGACTGGCAACAATAACGGATGTGCATCTGAAGCATTTCTAGGTTAGACGGCTCATGAGTACTCCCTGACCTATACTGATGCCAGGAATAGTTGATAGACTCAATAACGGCTAATTTTTTAGATAGGGTTACTAAAGAGCACGGCATTGTCTTGGTATGTCAGCCGTTCTTTACATCCTCTTGACAAAACTCGACTCAAAGACCGAAAAGTAACAAGACCAGTCAAATCACGTTATATTTAGAAAAATTGTGAAAAGAGGGTAGCATGTTGGCAAAAGTTCCAAACCTTTCGCGAGTTCACTGGTTTTTGTGCGATAACAATTTTTTTCCGATTTTTGACCTCTTCTATGCTCCACTTGAAGTAGACGAAATTTGAACGCACTATTATGTTGCCTTGGCTACATTATGCGCAATACTTTTTGCTGCTCGTTTACTTTTGCTAAATAATTATAAGAAGCAGTTGTCAGAACTCTACAGTCGAAAATCGGTTGATTTTTTGGCGCACTGGTAGAAATGCTTCTAGATACCCAGTCATATCCGATTATAATGTATCTATTCATTCATTTAATTATTTATCATTTCAAAAATACATCGGTGTACAAACGCTGTTCTCGCTTACAAAAACAATGGCAAGCGGAAATACTATGACTACCACTGACGGCCCTCACTTTTGCGTCGCATTATAATGGATCTTCAAAAAACTTTTGAATGATCAAGATCATATACAGTCGAGTAGATTTAGCGGTAAATATAGTGTGCTTGCACAGAAGGTGAAATGCGGTGAAATTTGCGCATGAGCAAGCAGCCACGTCAATACCGCGGGTATCTTGCGCGCGCAATTGGCCCGCGCCACAGTCGAAACTATTTCTTCACGCGCCAATTTTACCGCATTTCACCTTCTGTGCAAGCACACTGTATTTACCGCTGAATCTACTCGACTGTAACAGAATATGCCCAAGGTGCAATGAGCAAAAAAGCAACCACTTCGTAGCAATGTCTTTAATCGAAGCGATTTTCTTGCTGAATCACACGTTTTTCTTTTTTTCTACAAAGTAAGAGATACTCCGCCGGTCTATTTTGTACAAAAGAATGAAATTTTTAGGGACGAGCGAATCCGCCGTACGAAAGGAGAAGGACCCAATTAGAAAGAGGAGTTCTCAAATCCTTTAGACCTCAACAATTTTCAGAGTTTGTAAAGGATTACTGTTCATATCTCCGAATCCGCAGAGTTGGAAGTCAGCTTAATTGGCAAAAGCTTAGCATCTTGCTTAGAGGCGTATTAAAAGTAAACCATCGATGGAATTTCATGCCTAAGCGATGAGGGAAGGACATGTTCACTACGATCACTACTAGGTTTGGAGTTTCAACATTTGCTTCTCATTCTTAATCTAGCCAGCAGTAATGCGCAAAAGTAAAATGTAAAGTTACGGATCCGTTTATATCATGAGTCGCTCAAATCCAAAACAGCTAGTTTTAGCTTTTATGGGGGTAGAGATTAAGGATAGGTTGAGTTGGAAATCATCTGTAAAGGTTGATAGATGTTCTATTCAAAAAAATATCAGAGTGATCCAAAAGTAATGGAGCACCTAGAGGATGAATGCAGTTTTTTCGAACAAGAAAATTTAATTGGACGCAATAGTTTTGGCAGATCTCAGTACATATAAACCCTTTGATCGAGGTCTATACTGGGCACGGTCGCATCGCGTTATGTTAAAGATCTAAAACCAAATAGTCTTCAAGTAATTTCGTACTTCAATCAGCACGGTCTAAAACAAGTAAGTCTACCAATAATAACTGGGTACGATGGGTTAATTGTCAACGAATCCACGATAGTCTATCCCAAAGCTGTACAACAAGAGGTATAACATCGAGCATTAGAAGACATTCATTATTTCTCTCATCAAAGTAATTGAATGAGCTTACCTTTAATGGTTAGCATCTAATATTTTTGCGCTCTATCCAAGCATAATGAATTGCATGAATTTGCACATTCTGAGGGTGGATTGTATATCGCACATTTTCTAATAAGCCTCTTTTTATGCAGAATGATGAAGAAATTCTATGCGTTTGAGTAACCATCAGAAAGATCTTGGAAAGCCCTTTCGAATGATGTGTCAAATATCCAGAGAATTTGAGGTGCAGCAAAACTCGGATGGCATTCGAAAAGCTCTGTGTGATTTCTTTGAAGCGCTGCTCGAAGGGTTAGGAGTGAGGTGTGTGTTCTGTTCCTAACTGTTCTCCTATCAAACACTATGTGGATTCTAATACGAGATCTTATATAACCACATAAGGGCATTATTGACACCGACTATCATACTCACTCACAGCGCAGCTGCAGCGCAGTACTGGCTGTTCGGTCTCTACATCCCTATCTGAAAAGGCTGAAGTCAAGAGCTTACACATCTATTCTGCCACTCCACCAGATAGCTATACTGTCTACTGCAAAACAAGACAATAGGGGGAGTCCTCAAAGTCTAGACTTTCAAGAAGCCCTGATGAAGATGGACGGACCGCTAACGTTGGCTTATCGAGTAATAAAGTCTTGCTATCAACCTTGGTCGGCAGCGTAAAACCTGTATCACAACTTGAATCACAATGCAAGGGTTTATCGACAATCGAGCATGAAATATCAATGTTTTGTGAGTTTGTCTAACACTTTAGGAACTATTTCTCCTCCAAATTTATCAATCGCCTTTTCAAACTTTACGACGCCTTTTACAACTGTTTTTATCGCTCCTCCAATCTTTCCTCCAACTGTTTTCACTCCGTTTATGAATTTTCCGCATTCACCAACGTCCACAGCAGAGAGAATCTGTAAGCATCGAAGTAATGTACAGTCAGTAAGTCTAAGGAGTAATAGCGCAAACTAAGTCATGTCTTGCTTGGTCAACCTACCACTAAGATGGTAAGTAGCAAGAAGGTAAGTTTGAAAATTCTCATTCTTGTCGAACTGGCGTAAAGTCTCTGGAAAAGAATATTGTGAGAAAGTAAGCGGTACATAGAGCGTTTGAAAAAACGACGAACAAAAACGAAACTTTTCCAACATAACCTGACAGAAAAACAAATGGGGTAGAAGACTACACGTCGACGGAAATGGGAGGTCTAGCCGGACGTCTGCGACAACAACTTTTAGTACATGCACAGGCTGATTATCTACTACATCGTCCGCGTAAGACCCTCCCACTTTCGGCGACATATAGTCCTCTACCCAAACAAAAAAATCTTCTGACAAGGGAAGGAAGGTTCGTCGAAGTGGCCTCTTAGGATCCGTTGTAAACTGTCTCATAGAGTTTGGAACGCTAATTCCAAATCTGCCTTCGTAATCTGCTGAGAGCTTCTGAGCGAGGAGTTACGAAGGTTTTTTTTGAGTAAAAGTCACATGCAAGTTCAAAAATCACACGTAACATTTTTTCTAGGGCTTAACTGATAGTCGGGTCACTCGGCGCAATGCATATTCTTAATTTAGACAGCTTGCTGCTGCCTCATTTGAACGTTAAGAAAAAATAACGACCGATTTTGCACTAATCTTGCATTTTTCAAGATCTGCAAGATAGTGTACGTTTCATCTTAGAAAGCCACTTCGACCCACCTTCCTTCCCTTGTGAGTGCAGGGGAAATTACGAGTTTCCAGTAATTTGATTTCTCTGCTATGTAGTTCCTAGGGATTTGCAAGAGACAATGTCGCAGAGTAATCAAAAATAAAACATCATAAAGTTGTGCACAATACGCACAACTCTGTCATCAACTATTTCGCTTGTTCAACTGTAAATTCATCAGCTTTTTTCTCTGAAACAAAAAAGACCGGTATCGCCTTCTCAGAGAGGAAGCAAAGAAAGCTTGCTTTTGATCACGTTTCACTCAAAAGTTGTTGGTTACTACTATTTTCCCTCGACTATGCAAAGCTATGGACTATTAATTAGGTTGTTTTTGAGCTACAGCAGACCTTAGCTTCTGGCCAACTTTGTCTGAACATGTTTATGCACAGAAAGGGGAATTGAACGAAATGAAAAAGAGGATGATCAGATAGTATTGAAGCTTGGAAATTTTCTAATATTGTCATAACCTTTTCAATCAAGTTTCCTCTATCATAAGAGCTGCTTGGAAGCAATACACAAAAGTTTTGCCTTGATCCAAACCTACCTTCCATACACGATGCCGGACTATGGAAAAAATCCAAGCGTTCAAAGGTTCAATTTTGGCAAACATTTAGCGCCACATCCTCAAGAACTAGTTGTTCAAAAACACCTACTGTGTCTTCAATAAATGTGAGCATCCTTTGAAATCAGTACACTCAATATCTTGCTCGTCATGCGCTTGAAAGTTGGATTTTAAACCTTATTATGCACTAGGAATTTAGTGATTTCCACATTTAACCACATTCAAATCATAAAATTACTGAAGCTCTAATGCATGATGTGCTAAAGATCCAACTTGGGAGTGCAGGACTAACAAGATATTTAGTCTAGCAATTTTAAGGGATGCTCACACATAACAGAGACGCAGATAAGTGTTTTTGAACAACTAGTTCTTGAGGATGTGGCGCAGAATGTTCTCCAAATTTGAATCTTTGAACGCTCATAAGTTTTTCCAGAGAAGGGCATCGCAGATAAGGAAGGAAGATTCGAAATCAGCTCATCAAGGCGCATCTAACGACTTGCGGTTTAGTCCAAATAGCCACTTTAAGTTGGGGTCGTACCCTTGTTAGACCTATTGTACGAGCGAATTTCCGATCGTTCTTCATCAGTGCAGAATAACGGTAGCAACTTCAGGAATGATTTTAGGACATAGACAACCATATTTTGCCTCGGAAAATAAGCTAAACAAGTCAAAAGCTTTACACTAGGTTAATCAAAGTCGCAGACTTTAGATAAGAAATGCACTTCACTGTAATGCTTGATTAATGAGTAGTATTCTCCCATAACAATTGTCTTCTAATCCAGAAAGTGATCATACTCTGAGAACGCTCAAAAAGCTCGCAAAAATGTGCAGTAAAATGAGCAAGCGTGTAAACCTTGCTACGTAGTTTTTCACACTTTTAAAGGAAATTTCGGCAGACAGCTTTCTTACAGTGATCCTATTAAGTTGTCCCAAAATTACCATTTTCAACTAAATTGAGCTCTTTTTGTTTTCCTCGCAGACTTAATGTACCTTCCGATAGAGCGCAGACGAGCTCTACAAAAAGGCCACCAAAAATACAACTAAGTGTAATCCAGATAAAATTTGGAGCTAAAAACCAAATTTCTTCAGCTACACTAAAAATCGGACTTCCTTCCAGAAAATTCTTATGGACTCCGAACTTGGTCTCTATACATATATCAGACACATAGTGATACCCGAAAATGTATTCTATTAGGATTTTTTTCCGGGTTCAATTGAGAAACAAAGATGGTGTGTTAATGCCAAAATGCCCTTTCTTTCGAATTTTCATGTATAACTTAATATTTCTCGTTTGTAAAAGCACACATAAGCCTACAGTTTTGAGATTGAACTAACTCGTAAGTAAGGCTTGTAGTATACAATGACATTGGAAGGGGGGGGGGTGACGTTGCCATTTTTGAAGTATCTTTTTTTTCGTTTTTTATGCACGGAAAAAGTCCAGTAAAGACATATTTGAGAATACTCTGCGCCCACTGTGTAATGACCAAGTTGGACGTCCGTAGGATTCATTCTCGCAAAAATCCTTTTTTCAGGTGAGAAATTTTTATTTTGGGCTTCAATTTTCCACATGGAATGCGACTATCTTTTGTAGTCACTTTGAAGAGCTTGATCTGTTCTATCGAATGATAACCTAGTACTGGAACAAAAACAGCTTGAATTATTTATAAAAAGGTGTTTAATTTTGGGACAACCTAACACATGCCGAAACTTTCTACTGTAATCCTACGGTGGACAGCGGTATAAGTTGAAGCCGGTTTTACAGAATGATACTTGAAGATGGGATGAAACTAAAGCAAGAGAAATATTAGGTCGTCCCGAAAATTCTTACGCACGATTTTCAAAAATTCATAACTTCTGAATTTTCAACCGATTTAACTGCTTTTACTTTTGTATGAAAGAGTAACTCATGCTCTTTATAACGACATTTTAGATGCTTTTTAATGGTCATCTGTTGTGCATAGATAGGAGCGATAGAAGAAAATTGGTCAAAATTTGAATTTTCTGTGTAGGGTCATAAAAAATCGGAAACTTGCAACAAAAATCGGAGCAGTCGGTGCTGTAGGTTCTTTTACCAGCTTTTTCTAACAGTGCAAGGTTTGCGCCGATTGAGCGTCTCTATGAAAAGTTATGATTTCCCTTAAAAATGCTAAAATAAATCAAATCCGCCCTTTTGTATCGCTTGCTCGAAAGTCATAACTTTTCATGGAGACGCTCAATCGGCGCAAAGTTTGCACTGTTAGAAAAAGCTGGTAAAAGAACCTACAGCACCGACTGCTCCGATTTTTGTTGCAAGTTTCCGATTTTTTATGACCCTACACAGAAAATTCTAATTTTGACCAATTTTATTCTATCGCTATCTATGCAACAGATGGCCATTAGTAAGCAGCTAAGATGCCTTTATTAAGGGCATGACTTACTCTTTCATATAAAAGTAAAAGCAGTCAAATCGGTTGGAAAAGTCAGAAGTTACGAATTTTTGAAAATCGTGCGCAAGAACTTTCGCGACGACCTAATACTAGCAACTGAACGTGCGCACAATTTTTGGGACACTGTGGTCTTTGGTTGTCTTAGGTTTTGATATAGTTTTATGGCGTGATTGCATCAGCTGCTACTCATTGATTAATACATGTTGTTGCGAAATGTTTCACTTCGCATCTGGCAGAGCATATGTTTTATATAGAGAATATCAATGAGACATATTTGCTTCCATATGCTTGTTGCACAATCATTTCATATATACTAGTAAAAAATAAAGATGAAATCATATGGACATGAAGTAAATCGAGCTATTTTTGAAGATCTTCACTCTATCACGATGAAGAGAGAACTGCTTCAGCAAAATTTAGGCGTTTTTGGATTTATTCTTGAGAGCGTGATGTCTTCTCTTGCGGCAGGCGCTGTACTGTAACGCTCATCCCCCACCTAATATAAATCATTCCGAATAAATTTCGCTTCTATGACCTTCGAAGTTTTAACATGTATGAAATTGGTGAGTTACTTATGAATATTAGCGGTGTATGAAAGGACAGAAAAAATCCTTTCAGCTTTGCGGCTAGCACATTTGACTGGAAGTGAGTGATATGGTAAGTTAGCACATTAAATCAGCACGTTTTCTAGACTCAAACTTGTAGAGTTTTGAGAGCTAAGGATTGGAAGCGTTTTGGAAGATTTTTATGCTAAATAGATGAGCAGTTGAGAGAGATATCTGACGCTGTCCCAAAACTAGCTGGGCTATCTTGAGGCTGCACATATTCATCGAAGATCACCGTCAAAAAGAGTAGGGCCAGGTTCAAGCGTGGGTATGGCACGCCACAACTGTGGGACGTTTAAGGTGTCAAAAAGCAAGGAGTTGTAATTGAGTAATAGTGATAATAGTGATAGCATGTTACTAGTGAGCGGTTTGTTCAGGTAACCCCATTATGGAAATACAAGTAATGAGATATTAACTCGCCATCGTCTGCCTACACCGTAACATGATAAAGGGACCTCCAAGCATAATGAGTAATATATCTTCAATTAGCATGTTAACACGTTTCGGACCGGTGCTGCACATTGTGCAGCACGCGCATTTGAAAGATCTTTTCAACGTTTAAAGGAGCTTCTCTTTTTGTCCAAGGTTATTAAATCAAAGGCCTAAGTTCCCCCTTTTCGAAAGGGTCTGTAGTGCTGGCCGTCGATATCTGTTCAGAAGATATGAGGACAAACCGAACATCAGTTGCAACGAAGTGCGGCAACGCGAACGACGCGTGCGACGTGCAACCTTGGCTATGAATACAAAGAGAAAAACACTAGTTCCAGTAATAATGGTTATCGTGTACGATTTATGTAGATACTTTTGAATACAATTAGAAACTGAGTTTTCGTTCCTATCTTCTGTCTGAAGCTGTCTTAGATGTTGAATTACCTTTTTGAGCGCGTTAGGGACTTCGCGCTTACACTA